GATTAGGCTTGTCAAAGAGCAGTGAGAAAAAAGTTTTGTTGTGGAGATTAGGGTTGAAACTCCTGTGGAGAAAGTTTAATCATATGTGTGAATAGGGAGTAGTGATCATTACTTTAAATCACAAATCAACCACCAAAAATAAAAAGGGAAAAAGAAAAAAATGAAACTGATGCAATAGATGGAAAAAAAAAAGTAAAACAGAAATGAGGAGGGAAGTATTTGAAAAAAAGTTTTTTGAGGGAAGTATTTGAAAAAAAGTTTTTTTTTTTTTTTGGCTAGTTTCACTTAGTCACGAAATACTCATGAAGCTATCATACGAATTGTATGTATATGTATATTTATTGAGCCAAATCAACTATATTTTAAGTGGGTCACCTCTAACTTTAAAGAAAGCTCTAGTAAATCCATTGGCTTGAGTCTCAATTTGAATTCAATTTTGGAGTTATTCTTGAGTTTCAATTTTTTTTTTCCATTCTTGGATAGAATTTAGAAATGCTTGAGTATGCCATTGAATTCGATGAGACCAAATTATTTTCTTAGCTTGGTTATCACTTCTCTGTTTTCACTGCTCCTCATCTTTATGATGGTGTGTACCCCTAATCTGCTTTTCTTTAATTTTTTAAGGATTTTTTTAATTTTGAATTTGGAATTTTTTTATTTCAGATTTGATTTTGAGTTATTTTGCTTTTTTATTTGTTCTCTATTATTTAATATTTCTTATTTTGATTATTTATTTATTATTATTTAAAATTATTATATTTTTTTTGATTGATTTGTTATGGCATTATTTATTGTTATTATGCTTAGGTTTTAAGCTTTGGTAATCAGGTAAGAGTCACACTAGAAATGTTGTAGGTGTAATTATAGATAATAGTTTAAAAGATAATGTTGTAAAAATTAATAGAATTGGAGATAGAATTGTAGCCCTTAAGATTGTTGTTGATACTAAGATTTTTTATGATATGAGTGCTTATGTTTCTCAAGTAGGATTAGATATAAGTTCTAAAGTAAAATTTTGAAATAACCTAGAAGAATTAATACAAATGATATCACTTGAAGAAAGAGTTTTAATTAGAAGAGATTTAAATGGATATGTTGGTAAAGTGGTAGAAGATTTTAGAAATATTCATGATGGCTACTGTTTTGGAGTGATCAATGAAAAAGTTCGAGCCATATTAAATTTTGTTTTCGCATATGATTTTGTTATTGCTTATACTTTATTTAAGAAAAGTGATGAACATACTATTATTTATAAGAATGAATTTAATAAAACACAAATTGATTATTTTCTTATGATAGAAGCGATTGTCGAGAATGTAAAGATTATAAGGTCATTCCAAGTAAGAATTCAAGTATTCAACATTGATTATTAGTTCTAGACTTTAAGATGAAGAGTTGCATGATATAGAGTACTAGGAATGATTGTCATAAAATTAAATAGGGACACATAAAAATACTAATAAATTTAATTTTAAGTAAACTTCAATATTTCAAGATTTTGGATGTTCATAAAGAAACAAATTATGTGCAGGATAATTTAACAAATACTATTAAACAAGTGACAAAAGATTTACTTGGAGAATCAAAGGAAAAAATCTCTATAAATAAAATTTTTGATGGTGGAATGATAATGTGAAAAAAAAAAGATAAAATTTAAGAAGTGTTATAAAAATTGGTTTAAATGTTAAAGCCTAGAAAATTGAGAAAAATATAAGGTGACCCGTAGGGAGTCTAAGAGAACATTTTACGATGCTAAAACTTCTGTTTTTAGTGATCTTTATAATAGAATAAATTCTAAAAGAGGTGAAAAATATATCTATAAACCAGCCAAACAAAGGGAAAAGAAAAGCAAAGATTTAACTCAAGTAAAGTGTGTTAAAGATGAAAATAAAAAAGTTTTTTTCTTAGAAAAAAAATATTCAACATGGGTAGTGAGCTATTTTGATAAATTTTTCATTGAAGTTCCTGAAAATATGAACGATCTTAATAATCTTAATATTGTTAATAATAATATGTTTTATTTTTATCATCGTATTAGTAAGACTGAAGTAGAGGAGGGTTTAAAGAAAATCAAGAGTGAAAAATCTGTATGACTTGATGATATCCCAATTGAAGTATAGAAATATTTAGGAGATTTGGAAGTTTCTTGGCTTACTAAACTCGTTAATATTATTTTAGAAATTAAAAAGATACTTGAGGAGTGGAGTAATTGTATTTTTGTCCCTATTTTTAAGAATAAAGGGGATGCACTAGAGTTTGCAAATTATAGAGGAATTAAGTTGATGTGTGATACTTTAAAATTATGGGAAAAGATAATTGAATATAGTTTAAGACGTATTACAAAGATTTCTTGTAATCAATTGAGATTTATGCCCAACAGGTTTACTATGGAAGCTATACATTTATTAAGAGGTTTGATGGAGAAGTACAAAGAGAGTAAGGAGGGATCTACATATGATTTTTACTAATTTAGAAAAAGCTTACGATAAGATTCCAACAGAAGTCCTTTGGAAAGCTATAGAAAAGAAAGGTGTTGATATGACTTACATTAAAGTCATTGGAGATATGTACACTGGAGCTGTTACTTGGCTTCGAACATAAGGTGGATTGACCAAGTATTTTCCTATTTTAGTTGGATTATATCAGGGATCAACTTTAAGCCCATATCCTTTTGCTTTAGTTTATGATGCTCTTAGCAAACATTTATAGGAGGACGTACCTTGGTGTATGCTTTTCTCTGATGATATGCTTCTTGTAGATAAAACTAGAGAAAGAGTTAAGAAAAAACTTGGATTATGGAGGTCTACATTGGAGTCTAAAGGCCTTCATTTGAGTAGATGAATACATGAAATGTTGAAATGTAATTTTAGTAATAGTAGCTATAGTGATAGAGTTGTAACTATGGATGATCAAATCATTAAAAGGTGTGAATGCTTTATATATCTCGGGTTCATTGTTCAAAGTGATGGTGATATTGATTGGATGCTCTTAGTACAATTCAAGTTGGTTGAATTAGAGGAATGCATCGGGCCTATTGTGTGATAGAAAAATACTGCTTAGACTGAAACAAATTTTTAATAAGATGGTGGTGAGACCTGCAATGCTCTATGGCGCAAAATATTAGCCTTTACGAGAGAAGCTTAAAACAAAGTTATGTGTTTTGAGATGAGAATGCTTAGGTGGATGAGTGACTAGACAATTCGAGACAAAATGTGAAAGGACTATATCCGTGACAGGGTTGTTGGAGCTCTAGTGACAGACAAGCTTAGAGAGAGTCGTCTTAGATGGTTTGGTCACATTAAACGTCGACCATCTGATGATTCAGTTAGGAGAGTAGATAATTTAGATTTAACTTATGTTCAGAAAGGCAGGGGTAAACCTAAAAAGACTTGGGTATATTGTATAAAAATGATCTTAACTTATTAGAAGTAAATGAAAATATGATACTAAATAGGATGCAATGGAGAAAATCATTCATGTAGCCGACCCCACTTAGTGGGATAAAGGCTTGTTGTTGTTGTTGATATGATTTTTTTTTTTTTTTTATTATTATTATTATTATTTTTGAACATTTACATAGATAGCATAGAACTCTCATGTATTTACCTTTCTCTCAACTAAACTTTCATATTTGCACAACACTCAAATCCTTAATATCACATTTGAAATAGCGCTATTACTACTTTTTAAAAGTGAAATACATATTTTGATGCATAGGTTTAAAGCACCAAAGTGCTATGTATGTAAATATTAAAGTTTAACCGCCAACACTTCACTCTCCCATCTTTTGGAGTGATAGGGTTCATTGTGCAAATTTAACTTAAATGTGGTGTGACGTGAGAGGCATTGCTTATGTTTAGTGCATAATCGTGTGCGAAGAATTTGTTTTAATTACATATGACAATTAGTGATTTAAGGGTGGCCTTGGCACAATAATTAGATTGCCTGCAATATGATCGCAAGGTCATAGATTTAAATCTCAAAAAAGTCCTCCCCACAATTTAGTGCTAATGCTTCATTTATATAGCTCCTCTGACCTTGCATTCACATGGAGCCTAATGCATTGGATTTTCCTCTTTTTAGTTGCTCTTGGTTATACTCTCATAAGGTTAAGTTCGCCCAAATCTTGATTAGAAAATCATTGTATGAGCCCTTTTTGGCCAGGAGAAAAATGTAAAGAAGATATTAGATATCTGTGTAACGTTCCTTGATAGAAATCTTTGAAGGTTCTTTTTTTCACTTTGATCTCTTTCATTCTCTTCCTCAAAGTGCCAGAACACACAGTGAAGAGAGAATGGTGAGACAGAATAATTTTGCCCGCAGAAAGAAGTTTTATAAACCAACAAAACAAGTGCCACCACCACTTTTGGTGAAAATTAGTATCTTTCCTTTCATCATTCTGTTTTTTGTACCCATTATAAAGTATGTAAGAGAGAGAAATATAGAATGTTGGTACAAAGAGAGTCCAATTACCTTCCTTGTCTTCTGGTGTTATTTCGGAGAAACCATTTTTTCTATCCAATACTGAGGATGATGAGAAAGGAAAGACGGAGAGTGAAAAATTTCATTTTTTTCCTCCCTCATTGTTATCAAGGGAATTAACTTGATTTTTCCTAAACTTTCAGTTATTTATTCTCATATTATTTAAGTTTTGTGTGGATGCCATATCAGATTCTTGATCCGCATTTTAATGTTGTGATAATCACGCACTCCATGTCTCTTCACTCAATATGTAAATGTCTTAATTTGAAGATAAAAATGTTGCTCATCTAGAACAGCATTCAGTGCTTGCAGTTGTCAACATTATCTATTTGAATTGATAATATCTTTAATTTTGACTTTTAAAATTTACACATGAGTTTTAATATGTTGAGTGGTATTTTTTTTTTTAAATTTTTTTGCTGTAATGGTAAGAATAGTTTTATTTCCAATTGTGACAGAAGTGAAGTTCTCTAAATATGATTCATTGAATGCTTTCCCTTTTTTCCCACTATCTACAGAGGAGGTCAAGTTTGCATTTAACCCATGTTGCATTCAGTCCGAATGGAGATGAATTGCTATTGAGTTATAGTGGAGAGCATGCTTATCTGATGGACGTTAACATTGGTATGCTTCCTTCTTCATTTTCTTTCTGTACTTGTAGGCATTTTAATTTAAGGGAAAATTATATATTAAAGTTCTTTCATGCTATTAATGATATATACAATGGAATGTTGAGCTGTTGATGAACCTCCAAGTTCCAAATTTGGTAGAGTTACATCTTGGGTTTGCATTAAATCCTTAACCTTTTTTATTGACTATGGTGATACTTAGAAAGAATATTCTGTTGAAATAATTTTTACCCCGTAGCTAGCACATTTCAATCTATAATAACCCAAAAATTTGTTGACAATAAATTTCCATCTACATCAATCCAATATTGTGGACAACTTTTCATCGATAATAATCTAATGATCATTGGATTGCTACATTATATTTTTGCTATGTAGTCAATTTGGGGTTTTAGTTTAAAATGCTAGTTTTCAGATTTATTTATTATTTTGATTGTTATTTCTTTATCTATTTATGTATAACTTTTCATCTTATGTTTTGTATAGATTAACTGAATAAATTCAATCATACAATCTACAATTTTCTACTCTCCCATTTTCTCATTTTAATTTTAAAGATGCCAAAAGAGGTATAAAGATTCTACTACTTGTGAGGCCAGTGGGCCTTTCAATATGGAATCTCTTCTCCAAGTCGATAGGTCATTCACCAACACTATAAGCCACTCTTTGTAAAGTATTTAGGACCATTCTAGAAATAAGATGATGACAACAGTCACAAAAGCACCAATAATTTAAAAGGCAACATCAATTCAAGAAACTAACCTCAAAATGCAAAATCCAGGTCGAACAATGGAAATATGGTGAAGTATTGGATTGAGAAGTTCCAAAGAAAACTAGAAACAAAGAAAATTTTATTGTTTTTCTCCTTTTATATTGAGTCTTGGACAGCAAATCAAATATAACTTCTCTCTCACAAAAAAATTATTCCGAAACTTCACAGCTATTAATTTGGTTGCTCAAAAAGATAAATTCTTATATGTCCTCATTGCAAGCAAGAAAATTAGTAATTGGATAGGATAGTGAAGAGCATCATATAATATGATAAGAGACATGAATAATAAGTATAACTATATTATAACTATATTCGAATGTAGATGCGTCACTAGTAAAAGCAATCAAAATAGTTCAGTCATTCACATGACATTATTTGACATATAACTTTGTACTTCTAGTGTCTTATCTTTATTCCAATTTATCACTATTTTGTCCTCTAATCTATGCCACTTTTAGGAGTTGAATTTGGAGAGGATTTATGGTAGGTTAGACATGTATTCAAAACTTTAGCCTCTAGTGAATGATTTATCAAGTAAGGTACGAGCTCAAACAACGGATTTTGTATCGAGCAAACCCTCCACTTCAAATTTAAATGCACTCAAATGATGATGATGATGATGTCTGGCTTCAGTAATATTGCCAAACACCCAAATTTTATTTGTCTTGAAATTTGATTCTTTTTCACCTATAAAATTCTAAGGAATTATAGTGTGAAGTATTTCATTTGGCTAAAGACACTTGTGGCTCCTATCTCATTCAAAACCCAAATCCTTCTACTTTCCTTCACATGCTTGACTCCACAATGATGTTGCAAGACTGTTTGGATAAAAAAGTATCATTGGAATTAGATGGTTTTTTTCCTTCATCAATGACCCTAGTCGTCACACTTTGATTTTTTTTTTTAATGAAAAAATTCAGAACGGAATAATTTTTAAACAATTCAACATCTTGATCTATACTGAATTTTATTCCTAAATTTAAGTCATTGATAATGCCAAAGAATACTTTGAACAATATTATGAGATTATTTCAGTCATCAAAGGATTATTCAATCGAGATCGTGTTGACAGCCCTCATTAAAATGGGGTTGCTAAAAGAAAAATAAATATTTTGTTAGAGGTGACCAGATCACTGATGTTATCCCACAAATGTTTCTATCTTTGCATCTTTTGGGAGAAATTGTTCTAAAAACAACATATCTTATTAGTCGAATTCTCTCAAGTGCTCTTAGTATTCAAATTCCCATTCAGGCCTTTTTTTATTCATTTCCTCATACCATGATTAGTTCTTTTGTTTCTCAGAAAATCTTTCAGTGTTTAATCTTCATCATTCTCTGCAACAGTGTTTTCTATCAAGTTTATCTTTTTTTAAATACTCTCTAAATAAAATAAAAGGTACATATGCTATTTCTTGTTCATTGCAAAATTTTATTATTCCATGGCTATGATCTTTCTTGAAAACCAACCTTATCTCTCTAAATTCGAAATTCTTTGGAAGGAAATTCTTGAACTAAAACTTCAAGTTTGGAGTTTATTTAGTCATCCCCCATCATCTCTTTATTAAATATCTGGACAATGAATATTTATTGTTGCCCGTCATTTGATGTACTGAAGGCTCACCATAACCACAAACTACTCCATAGCTTATCATTATATCCAAACTAATAAAACATCACTAGAACCATAAAATTCCTCATCAACTTACCAATGCACTTAATTGATGAAAGAATAAGCTTGTGTTTGTATTAGGTGGGAAAAGAAAAATAAAAAAGCAAGAGCAATCAACATATCTCTTGCACACTCAAGAGCTGAACCTGGTTCAAGGACCAATTAAGTATATGTGGGTGAGAAAAAATTCATGAATCATGATACGATAATGATACTAATGTCCATTGTTCTATTGCCTTATGGAAAAGGGTGAGGCCATGCGGCAAATGACAAATCTATATATGCATGAATTATAAAGTCTTTCATTGGATTTCATGTTTTGGTCACTTCTCTTGATAAATTACAATCCATGAAGACCTTAAAACCCTCAAGTGGAGAAAGTTGTAATGGACGAAATCTATGCTTGAGATAAAGATAGTTTGTGGGAAGTTTCTAAATTTATATGGAGAAAAATTTCAGTTGGATGCAAATGGATCCTTTTTGTCAAATAAAGCAGTTGAGATTTTTAGTAGATTTGTAGCTCAACTTGTTGCAAAAGTGTGCATCAATTATATAGTATTAGCTATTAACCAATTTTCTCTCTGTTTGTTAAACTTAATACTGATTTAATTTTAATTCGTAGGGCAAATTTGGATTGGCCTTTACATCAACTTGATATTAAAGACTGTTTTTCTCATTGGGGGCTTTGTAGAGGGAGTATACATGGATATCGCTTCTCGATTAGAAAATCAGTAAAACCCATTAACTTATGTAGGCTCAAGAAAATTATAAATGATCTCAAAACAATCTCTTCATGCCTGGTGTAGCATATTCCTTAAATAAGTTAAGAAGTGTGAGATACTCAACATTAAGCGAATCACAATCTGTATAAAATACATAAAAAAGGAGATAATTTTGATTATGTATGTTGATGATATGATATTGACTGATGACTTTGTGAAGTCTAACCAAGTTCAAAGAATTTTTATCAAAAATATTCGAGGGAGAAGACTTGGAAAATGTAAAGTACTTTATTGGTATGGAAGTGACAATATCAAAATAAAGTATTGCTATTTTCTAAAAGAAATATATCTTAATCTGATAGAAGAAACAAGAATGCTAGGTTTTATGTATTTAGAAACTCAAGTGGACTCAAAACATATTGGGATTACCACTAATTACACACATGTTGAGAAAGGTAGGTATTATTGCTTTAGGAGCAACTCATCTCCTCTCTATCAGTTAGGCTGATATTGAGCTTTCTCCTAGTGGTATAATATGACTAATCCCACCGAAGACCACAAGGAAGGTGTTGATCATATTTTATGGTACCTCAAAATGACACAAAAAACATGCCTGCTAGATGAGAATTATTAAATAAAGAAACCAACATTCATGATTATTGATTGGGTTGGAGACACGTTATAACTAATTAGTTCCACATCTAGTTATTGGCGATACATATATGAAAATTTGATTACATAGAGAAATACAAATAGTTTGTAATTTTTTGAGGCAATATTGTAGCTGAATATTGGACAACAACACAATATTCCGAATTTTCGAATTGGTGTGATTCTATTCCACAGTGTGGTTTTGATTACTAATTCATCCAAAGCCATAAGATTATTTCCATCCTAACATTTGGCAGGCCAAGGGCAACTAAATCTTTAGGATTAGTGTCAAATCCAAGTCATACCCAACATAATGTTCAGCCTAGGTTCTTTGCGCTTTCAAAGCAGGAAGCTAAGGTCTCTCCTGAAGTTATCACATTTATGTTTTACATTTAAGAAAATTTTATCAAGTGCATTTTTAATTATAATAGAATTTATGTAATGTCATTCATAACATCATATAATAATTTAAATGCATTAAAAAGTCAACCCTAAATATTTAATGAAATGGTTTTTATGATAGATACCATATATTTTTAGAAAAGGCCAGGAAGAGTATTGCTTGATTCATGAGCATCACATTTTCTTATAGCTGAGGAAATAATTAAAGTGATGCAATTGAATATCACTTTAATGTTTGAGATATTATCTGTTAGAATGTCAAATGACACTTCTATGGAAGTTATTCATTTATTGTGAGGTGAAGCTAATTATTGGTGGAAAGGATTTTGATGCACTATTGATTGTGTTTCCTTGGTGGAATTTGAGGTAATTTAGACATATATTGCTTGTCTAAAATTTTTTTCATAATTAATTGCAATAAAAAACTGTCAAAATAAATGTACTTGGGGAGATAAAAGTGATATTCTGTGGAGATAGGGAGTTAACATCCATGATAATTACTTATATGAAAGCTTTTAAATTGTTGAATCGTGAAAACCAGAGTTTTCTTGCTCATATGATAGATACCTCTAAGGAAATAAAGTCTTTAGGTGATATTCTAGCGGTAAAAGAATGTTCAAAAGTTTTACTTGATGATTTATCAGGGGTATCACCAGTGTGAGATTGATTTTATTATTGAGCTTTTGCCAAGTTCTGAGCCTGTATCGAAGGCACTCAACAAAATGACAGTTAAGAAGTTGCAGGATTTGAAAAGTGAATTGCAGAGATTGCTAGATAAG